TTAATGATACGAAAGTCTGCAGTGTGAAAATTTTTTTACAAAGTAACTCAGATGCAACAGTAAACATCATGAGGGACACAGAAGAGTCACACTGTACTTCCATTATGATCCTTTATGCTTAAAGCATCCCAACATTTTCTCTACTCTCTATTAGAAAGAAAGATATTTATGTCACATATTTCAGTTATGAAGCCAAAAAGCTATGCCACAGTGAGACAGATCAATCCAAACACAAGATTTAATGATTCTCTTGTGAGGCTGCTCATTTAAAATAGAAAGAATCTTTTATCTGTTTCCCTATGAACATTTGGCAAGAAGTACTTTTTTGTGGCATTGAACTGAATTCCTTTAGGATTTTATACTTGCAAGAGTAGAACTGATGAGTAGTTAATATGCTGTAAACTCAGCTGGGAGACTACATTTGAATACTGCAAGTAATTCCCATTCTGTAAGGAAATATTTGCCTAAGAAGTGATACAGTTTTAACCTAGTGTTTCATTTTTCTCCTTTTAAATTCAGCATTTAATTTAAAAAATCCTTGAAGATTAAAAACTACTACTATTACTGAATGATTCTATAAATAATTACACTGCCATTGTTTTACTTCCAGTTTGTGAAAAAAAAAAAGTAAAATGAGAAGGCATGCTTCATTGTGCATTCAAAAATATTTTGGCTTTATGTGAAGGATAGTTATTAACTACTGGGACACTCTCTTATATGGTGTGGGGGCTTTGCAGGGGGCAAATTTTGGTGCTTATGAACTATTTCTATTTTCCTGACCTTCAGAGAACTTCAACACATTTTCAGTGTTCGAAAATTTGAGAAATCGAGTTTTTCAGGGGCTGTAGAACTTGACCTTTAAATTAGCGAAAACACCAAGAAGTAGCCAAAAAAATGTTCCAAGTCATATCAAAGGGAAGCCTGCAATTGAGCCTTCCTTTAGATTTTCTACTGCATATAATTTGTTTGTAGTTAAGATGTAAAACATACTGGGAACTCACTAGGTTTATTTGCTTGTAACGATAAAATGATCTGAAAAAATACAGCTCTTAAACACTGTGTTCAATGCTTTTCAGACCAAGGTAACATGCAAATGTTGGTATTACACTCAAAGTAAACTTAAAAAACATTTTGCACTAGTACTGTATGACTGGTATCCATAATGCTCAAATCTCAGTTCAGTGGAAACTTTCTATCTGCCTTGGCTTCCCCTTGAAATTCTGATGGACTTTTTCTGAGAGATGTGAGAAACATTTATTTCAAGGTGTGCATCATTTGTTCTTAGCACATTGTGAAGTCACAGGAGCACCTCCTGCAAGTCAAGGCAGGCACAGCAATCTGTGCTGTTCTGGCAGCCTCATTCCACTGAAACCCAAAGAAGTCTTGCTTTTAGCTACAATAGGCATCCAGTGTCAGCCTTAGGCTGGTGACATTTCCAGCTCTTCAGAAGGAAAGCCTATTATCAGTCTTAAAAACAATGTAGACCCAGCTTTCTCTCTCTTGTCTGCTCAAAGATGTGCAGACATTGACAAAGGGATACTGTGCCACTAGTCATATCAAAAATTGTTTCTGCTTCTGCTAAGTAAAATTAGTTAGAAAGGATAAATAATGAAGAGGGAAAGCAGGCACACCAGAACTCTGTGTGATCCAATAGAAAGGGCCCTCTGGGCAGATGAGCAATTGCCCAACACTTAGGGATCTTTCTGAAAGGGTGGATTGGTGTTGCACTGATGGAAACTCAAGCAAAGAGCTATATTTTACCCTTCTTCACCTCCAGATGCAGTTCTGTGATGCCTTGAAACAAGTTTGCAAATAAACTTACAAATGTACAGACATGCTTAGTACACATATACATGCATACATACTGTATATGCAGAGAATGATTCCATTTCTTGTCTGCAGTGAATAAAATTTTAAGGTAGTGAAAAAAACTGTGATAATATCAGCACCCAAGGGCTGAGTCTGCTGCTACCATGAATGATGTGGGTTTTGAATGCTTTAGATCAGATATCTAGTGCACAGCAGTGAGAAGATATGCTGGGTCTTGAAGAAGACTGATTTGGAGCCAGCAGCCAGAATTAAAATAGACTTCTGATTGCAAAGAGGACTGCAGAATTAAATTCTGGACACAAATTGGATGTGCTGCATTCATTTAGTGTGTATTAGACACAGTTCTGTGTAACCTACTTAGATTCTATCTAAAAGAAAAAGCTAGTAGCTACAGTCAGTGAATGTCCCAATTATTCCATATTCTCCTCACACTTCTAATCACTTTTCAAATCTAGGTTAATATAAGCAGAGAGGAGTGAGTGGAGAGACATACTCAATTTGCACACGAACTGCAATTTATTTGGGTAGAAAATTTTTATGAATATACATATTATTGGTGTTTTGCTTTTGGTATTCTTGAGAATATAATTGCACTCAAGAGTGATGTTTTCAGAAGTGGGGCAAGCACACAGAAATTGCTATAGAGATTTTCTAGCTTGTGCACTATATTAAGAGCAGAGTGAACAGAAACAAAAGGCTCTATTGCAGGAATCACCTGAAACAGAACCACAACAGAAACAGGACCTATGGCAAGTGAGAATAATATCTTTAATGAAGCAGGACTTGAGTATCTCAGGTAATAAATGGTTTGCTTGCTCTACTTCTAGCAGCCAATATTTTTTTCACTTGTTTTTCTTATAGGTCAGAGTTTGTGATGATGAAATAAATTGCATTCATTCTGTTATAGCTGTATTATTTTTTCATTATGACATCAGAACACAGACATGCTATACAGAAACTGCATAGGTTCACATCACGCAAGGAGATAACAGGTATTTGAGTAAGGTTACATTAAATATATTAGTAGAAAGAGCATGGAAAACAGAGAAAACTTCTCACAGATTCAGATGAAAACTAATCCGCTTTCAATGCATGAACCTGATTACAAAACTTTTTAATATTAGTGGAAAATATTTCACTTTCATTGGGAGCTTTAGGTTGAAGAAATTCATAATCACGTTAGTTTTCAAGCAATGCAATATTGTTTGGTCTAGATCTTAATGTTTATGTATTTATGTTTCATTATTCACATAACTATTGTGGGTGTGAATACATATCTTTACTAATACATATCTAACACTCACAAAAAAAAGATCCCCTTCTCACTGAATCTTGATCAGATTAATGCAGCTAATTAGAGAAGTAGCATGAAATAGCTTCTAGTAATTAGAATCTGGGGGGGACTTGGTGCCACTTTTATGTTTTGTCCTAAAATTATTAAATTTTCTCTTGTTTCCTTTTTTTTACTGTGAGCAGTAATCTCTGGTTTCTGCTTTGGAAACTTCTGGGGACAAGGTCAGGTTCATCAGAGAAGCCTTCTGAGGATATCTGTTGCTCCAAGTAAAGACGCATTAAGGGAGTCCACAAGGGTGTGGGGCTAAGGCAGTTGTAGATTATAACCACTAAAATGGGCTACTGCTGACCCACGGTGTCTGAAAATTTTGTTTCAGCTACCCCCTGCTACTGTATATGGAGTGTCAAGCACCTGTTTGGCCAGTGCATAGGTGGGGTCTATATGGGGCCTAGGGCAAGAACATAGCTCCCAGAGTACTGCTAGTAGACACAGCACTGTGTCCAGTAGGTTGTAAAGAAGACTGCCCAGGTGAATCTGTACCAGAACAAACAGTCTCCAGTATGGTAGAGACGAACTCGGTTTCCCCATCAGGTCCTGAAAGCAGCTGCCCCTGCCAGGGCAGAAGTTTTCATGCAGCAAGAAGTTCAAAGTACTGCAGCTCGGGAGAAACAGCCCCAGGTACCTGTACATGCTGGAGGCCTCCCAGCTTAAAAGGAGCCTAGCAGAAAAGGTTCTGGGGGTCCTGGTGGTCACCAAACTGACCATGAGCCAGAAATGTGTCTTTGCAGACAACATGAGCATTGTTCTGGGCTGCATTAGGAGGACTCCTGCCAGCAGGTCAAAGTAAAAGGGTTCCTACTACTCGGAACTAGTGAGACTAATCCTGGAGTGGTGGGTCTAGATCACAGATGTCTAGAACAAGAGAGACACAGGCATACTTCAGTGTTCAGTGAAGAGCCAAGAAACTGATGAGGGGACTGGAGCATCTCTGCTCTGAGCATAAGCTTTGAGAGTTGGGACTGTTAAGCCTAGAGAAGTGAAGGCTCAAGGTGATCTGGACTACAAAGAGAAGGTGCAGAGAAGATGAACCAGACTTTTTCAGTGGCACTCTATGACTGTACAAGATGCAGTGGGAACAAACTGAGACATAGAAGGCTTCCACTGAATATCTGGAAATATTTTGAGGGTGATGGAGTACTGACACATGTTACCCGTGTTACCCAGAGAATAGTGGAACCTTCATCTTCAGAGATGTTCCAGAGCTGTCTGGACATGGCCATGGACAACTGCATGATCAGGGGATTGGACCAGATGACTTCTAGAGGTCACTTTCAGCCTCAACCACTGTGACTGCAGATGTATTTATGGGGCAGTGGAGAAAAAAAAAAAAACGACAAACAAAACAAAACAAAACAAAACAAAACAAAACAAAACAAAACAAAACAAAGTTCAGGCATAACATGCACGTTAGAAAGTATGAAACATACTTTAAGCTTCATTCAGCAAAAACACACTCAAATTGTCTATAGTAAGTGTTAAATACTATCCTTGCTGCACTTTGAGTCTGCAATGAAAACTGGGACAGTGTGAATGCAGTTTACAAGCAGTTGTGTGAGTACAAGCAGATGTGTAGAATTATGCCCAAAGGGCAGCGCAAACACAAACTAGATTATATGAACATTTGGTATTTACATGCTGATTTGTATAGGACTGAATGAAACGTGAGGACTGTAGTACACTGTTAGAGAACTTTGAATAAAATGAAAATATGCACTTTCTGTGAATCTTTTGACCTGCAACTTCAAGATAATATGTTGCACTTGTCCACATGGTATACCTCATGGCACATAGCTATCTGAACTAGAGAATAACTTACCCTCCTTCTTCAGAGTATTTGTGACCAAAGGCAAGTATGTCAGATGCCCGACCACTGCCATCACATATCACAACAGGAACAGGAGGAGTGTCTCGCAGGTACTCCAGAACGATAGAGATAACATTGGGACCTCCTTCCACAATGAGGGCCACCACTGGAACTCCTTGACCAATTCCTGGAGTAAGAGAAAGAAAGAAAGAAAGAAACAAAAACAACAAAACAAAACAAAACAAAAAAGCAAAGCCAGCAAAGCAAACAAAACAACGGAAGACATGAAAAAAAAAATCAAGCTGAAATTACTGGATAGTGACTGTATAGTGTCACATTTGAGAAAATGCTATTCAGAAAATCATAGCTTTTAAGGTCAGTAGGGATTACTGTACTCATCTGGTCTGTTCCATTGCATAGAATTATCTTTCAAATGCCATATTCATGGTTGAAATAGACCACACATATTTTACAGAATCAAATCTTGGTTTGAAAGCACAGAGAAGTTACCACAACTCTTCCTAATATGCTTGAATCATAACACAGCAGCTCACTTGTAATCTAGATTTTGCATGATATTGGTTTCCAATCATTGGTTCTTTCTGTAGTAGTTTTGAAAACACCTCTACCGTGGTATTTCCTTCCTGGATGCATTTGAAGGTTGCAGCTGGATAGCCATGTAACCCTCACTTAGACAAGCTGAAAATACTTGTTGCAAGCCAGTGGAATGCTTGTTTTCTAATCCTAGCTGGTCGTACAATCTTTGAAATCTCTCCTACTTGCCAAGCACGTTCTCTGAGCTGCAGATCACATGCTGGACAGTGCTACTGAGAGTTGAGCTAGTGCTTAACTAGAGGAGAAACGTACTTATTTTCAAAAATTGTATTATAATTAGGTGAGCCTCTTCTGAAAAAGTTGCAAGAGAGAATTTGCCATGAAAGTCTTCAGGATTTAGAGAAAGACAATTTGACATCAGGCTGATGTTTAGGTGATTAACAAACTCTTATGTTTGCCACTTCCTGACAAAGGACTCAGGCAGTAGAACTAGCTGAGTAGGCAAGTATGTAACCATATGATGCTAGAGAACCTGCTTTAAGTGCCCCTGCTTAAGCAGGAGGTTGGATCTGATGATCCAGAGGTCCCTTCCAATCTCAACTAGTCTGTGATTCTGTGATTCCATAGTTCCAGCAGTCTGTGAAAGATCACAGCAGTAATATTCTCCAGTGAAACACTGTTTATTCTAAAATTCCAGATTATTTTCCTTAGGAAAGGACAATGCATTATAGCTAATAGCAAAGCATTGACCACAGGTGTTGTTTTCCAAACAAATAAAAAGGCAAATCATTTTCAAAGATCTAGATGCTTTTCTGTTTCAGAGAAAGAGTAAACAAGATACCATTCAGCTTTGTAGAGAAAAACTCATAATCTTTTAAATATCTATAAAATTGTGGTTACATGGAGGATTGCTACTGAGTGTGCTCAGTTTGCTTTTCTTTTTTGTGGCATTTTTTGCATGAATTTCGGTTGTAGCAAATCATTTGCCTTTCTTTTGGAAGGAGAAAGAACTTTGTTGCCTAGCAGTATGTACATTCAGACTTGAGAATGCTGAATATTGTATGAACACTACAAGGTTTATCACTGGATTAACTACATTCGTTTCAAGACAGAAAAAAATGATGAAAATCAAAGGTCCGTCTACTCAAGTATAGTCACATTTTTTTTTTATTTTATGTTATTGAAAATAGTTCAAGAGCCAGCAAGAATATTTTTCTCAAACTTTCAAAGGAAAAATCCAACCCGTATTCAAGAGCAGATGCAAAGCACCTCTCGCAAAGTTGCATATTACTATTTCTCATTTAATAAGATCTCCTTGTCATACTTTGAATTCCTATTCTGCCTGCTATAAATACAAAAAGAAAGGCAGTCTCTCACGACCTAACAAATAGAAAACAGAGAGAACAGCATTTTTATTTCCATTTCATACACTGCTTCATCCAAGAAGAAGAAATAGTAAAGAAGATCTGGGAGTTAAGATCGGTTCTTGGAGGCTCATTCCTATTTTAATTTCTAAAACAATAAGTTTTATTTAGTGAATTGCAAGTATAGATTTTTGCAGAGTAAATTGGTGTTTCACAGAGTCAGTTATTATGTATATGGTTGGAGTAATATTGTAAATTAAACTGCACTATCACGCAAAAGATTTATACAATCAACCTAAAGGCTCATTAGTGTGTTATTGCTTTTATGACCAGCAACAGAGTCACTGAGATGCTTTCTGGCAATTGTGATTCTATGCAGGTATCTACATATCAGAACGTTCATTCTGATGTGCACCACTGGCAATATCCAAGCATTAATGTTATTATTCAGAAAAATAATCCTATTTTTCTCTTGACACAGCAGTGCTGCATGAATTTGTAAGTTAAAACAATCAACTGGAAGAAATGAATGAATTTGGAATTGGAAGCAAGAAAATACTCTGCATAATGACTGTGTAGTGTGAAAAGAGATTTTAAAAAATCTGTTTTGCACAAGGCTGACATTATTTTCCCATTTCTTGGAAAACTATTAATATTTTATAATGTGAGTATATTTATAAATAATCTATAGCAGTCTTATAAATTATTACTAGTCCTTTCTATGTAGAGCTAAACATGAGTTATCCACTGCTATCTAGACCAACAAATTAATAAAATGCCTCATTTACTACAAAATGCATTTACTACTCATGTATGCAAGCATGCTTATAAGAATAACTGTGATACATAGAAGGCTATGCACTACTTATAAGTAATGCAGAGATCTGTGCAAAAAAGCTTGAGGCTCTAGACAGACATCAAGACAGAAATTTGATTTCTAACTTGCTTATGTCCTGAAAGAGGTTTACCATTTGTGGGCAATGGCTGTATTTCTATCTGCAAAATTCTTTCAAATGCTTTTGAATAGGGTAAACACAATGCTCCTTTTTTAATCATCTGCCAAGCCATAAAAAAAAAAATCCAAGAATTTAAAAATTTAAGTCAACAGACATGCATATGATAACATGCCTCCAAGTGCTTGCAGCTGTACAGTGCACTCAGAGGCATGCATATAAACCATATTGCACAGATAGCTTGCAATGACCATATATATCTGAAAATGAAGCCTTTATGCTCATTTATGTGAGACTGAATTTGTGTGCAAAACCTGACAATTTTAAAACTGTCCTATAATACACAGTTTTATTTAATAAGGGTCTTTATTTTTTTCTAGATTTTCCTCCCTTCTTGTTCCACTTTATAGATAAATCTTTAGGTTGTTCCAGCAAATAGAATATGTTCCTTTATTAAAATAAATGAATCTCTCAGTAATATTAAGAAGAAATTCTCTCTGACCTTTACTCTTTTAACTCCTGTTATTCTGGACAACAGTTTCCTTTGTACATATGACAAGAGGAACCTCATGACATTCATACCTCTGGAGTAAAGAGCTGCCTGAATTCCAGGGTTGTTCTTTCATCCTGCATTGATGTCTCCCCCTTGGTAAAATGCTGCTTTTGCTAGTCTGCAACTGCTTGTGTTATTCTGAGGCATGACCCAATCTCACCCTAGTCTGCAGCCTGATCTAGAATTTATAGGCCCAGATTGTGGTGAAGAGCTGGCCTAAGTATTAGTCAAATGTAACAGCAAACATGAAGGCAAATAGTCAGCACAGCAAAGTAAGTAGGAATATATTTTCCTTTGATGTACTGGAAGTAATCATCCCTCACCTTACAGACACGGTATCTCTTATACACATTCACACAGGACTACAGGATATGATGAGCAGAATGGGAAACTTCAAAAATATAAGGGTTTAAAATGGTAATCAACTTATATTTGAGGTAAAACTTGGATCCAGAAATGTGTCTGATCCTAACAAAATGCACTCTGAGCACATGCACTACAACTCTGTTATAGACAGGTGTCCTGATACTCGCATAATCTGTTGAGCACTGAACTATTTATCTGATTTTGGTTCTCTTTCTACAGCTGTTTCAGATATAAGACAAAATTAACTGCATTTGATTGTCATGTGGATGAATACTTACTACTTGAAAAGAAAAATCCATTAAAAGTTCATGAAAATACCTATTTACACATGCAATTCTAACTAGGAACATAAATAAAAAATTAACCCAGCAACCATGGGTCTCTAATCCTAAAACTAGTGCCAGCATAACAAATCCTCAACAACATCAAATAGATGATGTGTTTCCAACAAACAGACTACTTATGTGACAGATGAGGTTTCAGTTCCAGACTTTTTAATGCAAGGAATGTTTTTCAGTGACATTAGTGGAAATTCAGTTTAATTCTGAATGGAAGACTCATCAAGTACTGTGAAGCTCAACAAAAATATCCATGTATTCAGGGACTTCTTGACAATTTTGAACTAATTTTTTTAAAATCTGATCTTAAATTAAGCCTAAATATGTCAGAGGAAGTATAATTTTTTACTGAAAATCAACTAATAACCTTTAATAATTTATATCTGAAACAGAAAAATAAGATCTCTTATTTTTTGCACTGTTTTAGGCTTTTGGAACCTTGAAACTCAAGTTGGAACCTCTTTTCTGGGAACTTACATAAGGAAAATTAAACAAAGTACTCAGTTCTATGAAGAAATCAATCTTGGAAGGTTAACATCTTGCCCCTACTTCATGAGGCCAGCAGAGTATGCAACACTGTGTTGCATCAACAAAGATGAAAGAAACACTCCACATGAAACTCGTGGTTCTCAGAAGCATGTTGGACCAAGTATTCGCACAGTGCTTGGACATCACAGTGAGAGGTACTTACACAGAGTAGATAAGCAATTAAATATGCTCTGGAATTTTAATGAGCAGGAGTCTACTCGGCATGAGCTTAGGAGTTTGAGGGAAGTAATTTTAAATTTCTGAACTAATATTTGCCTTACAGAAACACTGAGTCAACAGACACTGTTTTTCTTTCACTTGTTAATAGCGTGTCTAACCACGGGGTAAATACTGTTTAAACAGATTTAAAATGGTATTGGATTTTAAAGTCTTTTAAAAGCTTGCCCATATAAACAAATATGCCTTTCTCACCTTTAGACTTCTCTGTGGCACTGTGTATGGCCCTAATTGCCTCAAAAAGCTTCAGTGACAACAGAGAACATCCTGAAATAATTCACATCCTTCCTTTT